CTGTTGCGTTATTCTCTTATTCTTGTTGCAAGTTTCTCTTTATTTATGTGTTTCGTATGGTTTGTACGTATTTCGAAAAAGGTTACAGGTGTGCACCTATATTACTAGAATCTTAACTGTGACAGCAATAATTATTGAGAACCCAACTGTGGTATCAATTGAGATATGAGAGATTATATAGCTCTGTCGTGTTCGAAATTATTGTTCTATTTGTGCTATATTCTATAATATAGACTAGTATTATAGAGATACTATATTTTTACTGTCTATTTACATATATTGTATATTTTGATACTGTCGTATCTTCATATATATAGATTATTTCGTGATTAAATAGCTTTTATACAAAAATAAAATATACTTCAGATATCTAACCAAATTTATATTATATTTATATTTATATTATTTTTATAATTTTATTTATATCACATTCATATTATATTATATTTATATTTATATTTTACTTCTTATTTATCATTCTCAAATGCCTTATAACGATACAAACAATTGCAACTTGATAATAACACAATAGAGTGGTGCTCCACGCAAATATCGCCACGATTTTTCAGACCATTTCCGATCATTTGACTTAAAAAGATATCTCGAGTAAGAGTTGATCAGTAATAAAAATCAATATCATTCCCTTTAAACGAAGCCATGTGTTTTTAAATTCGTAGCAAATTTGACGATCTTGTACTACTGACATAGAAGTGCCAAGCAAATCAATGGAAACAATCAATCTGGATAATCTTTCGATTGACCTTTCACTGAGAAAAAAGTCTTACGCTTGGAAACTTTGCTCGAGTCTGTAACATTTTAATATATCGTTCAAAACAATTGTTTTCCGTGAACATTTCACCACACCGTCAGAAGCGAGTACTGAAAAATTATCGAGTTCCACGCGGAGAACATGCTGTATAGAACTTCTTCTAGGAAAACCCGAGCGAGCTTATATATTCACGCTAATAAAACGCGCATGAACTATGCGAATTCAACCGTTGATCGACGTCGACGACGACGACGAGGAGGAGGCCCTCCTCGCGTAAGCCCATATAAAGGATCGCGAGACGACTTTGAACCGGCCATTATGGAGATTCATAGGAAGTTATTCATATTATGCGCACGCAGACGCAGAATTACGTCGAGCAAGACGAGAATTACGAGCAAGACGAAAACTTTCGGCAATTCGGGGATTATTATTCGCGATTACCGCTGTTCAGTCGTTAATCGCGTCGAGAATTTTTCGTCCCAAAAATTGCAACATTTTCTCAGTTTCAAGTATATTGAAATGTGACAAAACGAACGATAATTTTATTACTTCTTAATAATAATAATAATAATTTAAGTAATAGTTAGTAATAATTTAGTTAACTAATTAGTTAGTTAATTAATAATTAGTTAATCATTTCTATCCAGTGATATCGTACCGACGAGGTTCGAAAGGAAAAGAAAGCGACGAATTATTGTGCACGGCTCGGTCACTCGTTATGGTCCGCGAACCAGTTGCCGGCGCAAGAGGTTAAAAAGAGCGAGATTCTGTGCAAAGTATGTACGAATGTGATGGAATATAGACCATAAATATTAGAGCAAATTAATGAAAATATCAACGTATGTATAATAGAACTGGTCAAAAATTTGGGTGCACTTCTACTGTACTTGAAATGATACGATGGAAAGGAATTGTAAATTTGTCTCGTACTGAAAAGAGCGAAGTTGTGTGCATAGTATGGTAATAGATGTGCATAAATATGATATTGGAGCTAATTATAAAAATACATACATATGTATATAGTAGTATAGGCTGAAAATTTGGGGGCACTTCAACTGTAGTTAATATTTTGCTATGTAACAATGTTGCCAGCGCAAGGGATTAAACAGCACGCCAGAAACATATGTAAGTTAATAATATACAATGACATTTTAAAAAAGTGGAGGTGACTTCGAGTCTTCGTGAAAATAAAATTTCTTTTTGAAACTTTTTATTAGCAAACGTCTCGAGACCGTGTTTTCCCGGCCAAAAAATCACTTTGACATTGTTTCAAGATACATGATCGTAGTATGGTAGGTCGTTGAATTCGTCGTTGACGTCAGTTTCAACGTTATCAAGTCGAAAACATGTAATGACGAATTAATAGAATCATTATACTAGGTTATCGGGATTGTCTAGGTAATTGTCGACCTCCGACAGAAAAGATGCTTGGTCGCCTGGTCGATCGGAACACGCCTAACTGCGTGGCTGTGCTTCGAGCATTTAGGTTAACACCGATCCGACGTTCCGGCTCCAGCCACGAATATTCCAACGTTATTATCCCGCTGATACATCCTGCGAAATCATAGAGCAGCGAGCGGGCGTGCTCTGAAAAAAAGTTAATCGTCGAGTAGCGCAATAATTACTTTCGCCCGGCTCTGCCCTGCCAGCCCCCTCGCGAAACGCGCTGCCCCCTTCCGCCTCGCGCGTTTTCATCCTTCACCTGGCACGCTCGCCAATTATTACGTTTTTAATAGAAATTTGTCTGTCATTTTCTTTTTTTTTTTTTTCTTTTTTTTGATCAAATTTATCGAATTTATCTTTTCTTTTCCTTTGTTTCTGCTTCTGTCCAATCGATCTGGTTAGATTGGTTTCGTCGTCTTGCAATATTGACTCGACTTTCAACGCGCGACGTTGACTTTAGAGGTGGATCTCGAGATTAAAGTATATGTGGCAATTACGAGAGTTTCGATGGAAGTTTGTCATTCTGTTTGGTTTCAATTTTTTGACTGATCTCGATATTTTGCAAGGAACGAGGCTAAAGTAAGAGTGTTCTTCTTCTTCTCAAGAAGAAGATTTTTATACTAAAGGTATAAAAATATCTCTTTCTTTCATTCACCATTTTGTCTAATTTTTCGATTGGTTTCGTCTGTTTTCTATTTTCAGTTTAAAGAAACGAGAATAAGTGAAAGAGAAAACCTGATAAATCGATTTCTTGGAGTAGTAGACTTTTAAATTAAATTAAAAGAATTCCCTTGCTTGCTTACTTAATTTCTTATTTGCTTCCTTCAGTATTTCTCCACATTTTGCACGAAGTAAAGAGAAGAATGGTGAAAGGTGTAATAAATGTGTTCTTTAAAAAATGAAATAAATTTTTAAATTAAAAAAGTTTACGAGTATATTTGCCAAGTAAAAAAATGTACATTTTGATATCCAATATTCTGTTATCTTAAGAACTTAATTGTCAATGTAACTTAATTATCAATGTAAATAAATTCGATGACTTCATCTACTTTTTTCTCTTTACTTCAGTGTCACTTTTATATGAAACCTATCTTCTGCAGCTACGTTGTGAATTCTGATTTTCATCCATAAATAAATAATAAGAGTAACAAGAACAATACCTTCGACTTTATGGTCTGAGACGTGTGACAAATGTATGATAAATGTACTTTTTGAAAAGTTGAAAAATTCTTCAGTTCCCTTTTCAAAGGAATGGAGAGAGAAAAATCAAACACACGAGGCAAACAGCTCTCTCGAGAACGAACATTTTGAAAGTTGATGTCGTAGAAATAATCGAAATGTCGAAAAATCGATTCATCGCGACAATAGCCGACAGTTGGAGAACAATCCCGCAGGCTGGTCGGACCACCGCGATGCTCTTACGAGTCACCATCGCAGAGAGGCGGCTGTCATTAAATTCGTCATCTCGTGGAAGATCGTGTACACGCCCGCCAGCGTAATTTACATCGCAGTAAAAAAAAGAAAAATCCTCGACACCTGAGAAATTCCCAAGGTCGTTTACTTGTCATTCCCAAGGTATCCAACCGCATCGATTCGCACGGCAGCTGCCTCGAAATTTCGTCGGGCCTCTTAAATCGCGCATCCCCTTTTAACGAGCCACTCAATCGCGAGAGTACGATGGCTCACGGAACAGAGTACGTGACGATATTCATGAAAATAACCTTTATTTACACGTAACAAAATATTACGTAACTGTACGTATTGTTGGCAAATATATTGACGTTTATTTGGTCGGTTTAACCTCTTGCGCTGAATGACGTGCCACGCACGTCGAGAATTCTTTTTCTCCCAAATTTCTCATATTTTTAAATATATTTAAATGTATATGGTGCGTTAAAGTGTAATATAATTGAAGGAAAAAACAGATGATAAGTTTATTACATCTTAATAATATATACATTTAAGTATATTAAGCGACGAGGTATTATATGCGGTTCGGTCTCTCGTTATGGTCCGCGAACCAGCGCAAGGGGTTAGAAATTACGCGACAAGTATTAGGAATATTTATCTGCTAATCGAATAAATAGGGACGCACTTTGTTGAATCTTGAAATGTTTCCTTTTTTTCCATTGCGTGGAAAATGCCTCGATTAAGGAGTTGGCAAAAGACATTCTTTCCATTTGCAAGTAGATAATAAGTTACGTGAAATTTTCAATATGAAGTAATACAACATAAGCTATAATGATATAAATTTAAAATTAAATATCGGCATCGAAGCTTGCAATATTACAAGATCAATGAAAAATTATTAATTTGCATCTGAAATCGAAATTATTCAGAAATCAATCTCATTAAAAGGCAAAGTATCGCAATTTCATCTCCAGATTCAACGAACAAAGTATTAAAGAATCAATAAACAACATATCAGAAAATTACTCCTTTCCAATAATAAAAAGAAAAAAAAAAGGAAAGGAGAAAGAAAGAATGAAAGAAATTATTCCAAATCAGCGACAGAAACAATCTCTTCGTTAAAGTATCGCAATTTCATCTCCAGATTCAACAGACAAAGTATCAAAGAAATAAATAACATACCGGAAAATTACTCGTTTCCAATGAGAAAAAGAAAAAAAAAAAAAAAATAAGGAGAAAGAGAGAAAGAAACGACGAAGATGGAGTAAAAAACGAATGCAAAGGAAAGACAGAGGCAGAAAGAAGAAAGAAAAAAACCTGAAAACGAGTAAGAACAAACGAGCTGGGGCATGCGTTCTGACTAAATATGCTGGCATACCTTTCGAAAGCGTAGTGTCTCTCGTCAAATCTGCAACACAAACAAGGATACGTCACTACACACATTGGCGGAGGATCCCTCGTGCTGGGGGTCATTGGATCAGTATAAAAGCTATATACATACATAGTCCCTATCCGTTTTATAAACTAGTTTCGTGCAGCCTTTTCGTGAAGCGGAGGAGAACGCGTGGACAGTGAGAGGAAGGGGAAGAACGAAAGACCGTAGATAGGAGAGAGAAGAAGAACAAGAAGAAGAAAGGAGATAAAAAGTGTGAAAGAGAGAAGAAGCGAAAGATCGAGAGAGAGAGAGAGAAGGGGTGGGAGAAGAACCGCGAATATTATTTGAGACGATAGACGGGTAGTTTGATGCACATAAGTAGTTATACCTATAAGTAGACATAATCATCACCAGAGTAGGCAGGCAGGTAGGGTAAGGTTAATTTCCAAACCCCGTATTATGGTCCCCGAATCAAGTTTTCCATAGTATAATAAGCAATTTTATGACGTGCACTCGTAATTATATTGAGATTAAATAAGACCGGGCCCCGTTTAGATTTTGCAGCCATCCCCCCCCCCCCTTGGCATTGTTCAAGTGGAAAAATTTGGCGCGGCAACGGAGCCAAATTTGTGGTACAGAGCTGGGTAAAAATGCTATTTCGAAATGGCAAATAATAAATAGATATATTTACTTTTGAATATAAAATGTAAAATATTTTTTAACTTTTGTAAAATGTAAATTAATGCAAAATATTTTACTTTTGAAAATAAAATGTTCCATTTGCTCGAAAGAACGTGCTCTTAAAAATAAAGTGTTTCGTTCGTTGTAAAAAAAATTTCCAAGGTAACATTTCAATAAATGGCATTTTACTCGAAAAACGCTGAAAATATTTGTGCCATGGAAATTGATCATTTCTTTTCCTTCGTGGAAGCACACGGTGATGATATTGGGGACAATGGTGGCAACATTGCAGAGTTAGAACCACTGCAATGGATTTAGGCGATAAGGATTTGCAAATTCAATGTATCTACAATATCTTGGCAAAGTTTTAAATTCAGGAGACAACGAAAGTAATCGTTTCGGATCGTCGGAAATCGATCTTGGCAAATATCGCGAATATCGGCTCGACAGAAGAAGCAAGCGGAGCCGGGGATCGGTATGGTTTTTGCCTGGCGCGAGACACGAACCGGCAGCGTACAAGCCCCGCGACACGTTGCATTTACAATGCTATTTTTCTCCTAAATGGAACTTCTTTCGATATCGCGATCGAGAAGCCTCGGCAGTGGCTGGCCGTTTTTCCGATCGAGGGCGCGCGCGCGCGGGCCCCGCGGCCAGGAATGTCGGACGAACCGATAAAAACCGAATCAAATGTCCTACGGTTCGGCCCTCGCGGGCCTCGTGGGCCCCCGACTAATGAAAATACCCATTGTTAACCGGGGCCGGTTTTGCGCCGAGAAATTTTCGGCCCCCAGTATCCCGGCCTCGTGCGGCATTTTTCACTGCCGGACGTATTAGGCTGAACACGTAATTACTGCGAGTTTCTTTCCGAGCGTTACACCCGTTCTCCTATTTTGGACACGCCGATCGTTTGAATTGACTCGGCGAATAGCCGAGAAAAAGCTGGGCGAACGATTCTCGCTGTTGCTCGCTCCTGGAAATCGGTGAAATTGTTCCATCGGCCGGCGAATATTTTTTTATCCGATAGAGTGGGTTAATACTTGGTTGAGAGTATTTTCTTCTCTTTTTTTTTATGAACGCGACTGACGTAGAAGAAATAAATTCTAAATTTATTATTGTAATGATATTGTTGCAATATATGTAATATATTATATTTTATTACTGTTAATATATTTCTATTATATTATATAGTAAAATATAATATATGTAATATATTTATGCTTAATTACTGTTAATATACTTATATGTAATATATTTTATATTATACTTTATTCCTATTAACATATTTATATTTTATAGTAAAATATAATATAATATATGTAATATATTTATTTTATACTTTATTTCTGTTAATATACTTATATTACATTTTATAATAAAATAGAATATAATATATGTAATATATTTATATTATACTTTATTCCTATTAATATACTTGTATTACATTTTATAGTAAAATATAATATATGTAATATATTTATATTATACTTTATTACTATTAATATACTTATGTTATATTTTATATAATATAACATATGTAATATATTTATACTTTATTACTGTTAATATACTTATATGTAATATATTTATATTATACTTTATTCCTATTAATATACTTATATGTTATAGTAAAATATAATATAATATATGTAATATATTTATTTTATACTTTATTACTGCTAATATACTTATATTACATTTTATAATAAAATAGAATATAATATATGTAATATATTTATATTATACTTTATTCCTATTAATATACTTATATTGTATTTTATAGTGAAATATAATATATGTAATATATTTATATTATACTTTATTACTATTAATATACTTATGTTATATTTTATATAATATAACATATGTAATATATTTATACTATATTTTATATAATATAATATAAAATATAATAAACATATGTAACATATTTATATTATATTTTATTACATATACATATTTTTGAGAGTATAATTAACTACCGACCACAAAAGTAAAAAAGAACTGGTATCAGAGCAAACTTAAGCAAAAAACATAGAGAAGTTTGTAATACAACAAAGAACAAAAATTTTTCTTTACGTATTTTATATTTCCACTTAAAAGTCGCACAATTATCACGTATTTAAAAATCATACAAATCTTCAAAGCTGCACTGGTGGAAATATTTTAAAACTTTCGAACTGTATTGAAATCGTTCTGTCCAACGTTTGAGGGATACAGGAAAATGAATAAGGTCTTGCGCACTGTACCATAATTCTTTCGTTCTTTCTTTTAGAAAAGCATATTTTATTTTCCGACGATATTTGGAAATTAATTTGAAATTAAATAATGGAATGAAATAAGAGAAAGTCAAATTTCTTCGTCACAAGCGTGCATTCATTTGACGAGTAAATTTTAGAAAAAAAAAAAAAAAATAACTGTACTGAGAAAACACGGAGTTTCGACACGGAAGAGGAACCGTGGCCTCCGTTGGGAATGTCGATGGCCACGACAATCGCAGTCAATTGCCATTACGGGAAATTAAATCAGTCGTGCTTCTATTTACGCGCGACCCCAACGCCGTGTAAATTGACCGACCACCGAGAGATAACGTCGAGGCGCTCGATGGTGATGCTGGAAGATGGAATTAAGATCGAAAGTCTCCAACGAGATTACGTGTGAATATACGTGTGAAAGCGTGATTCACTTGATCTTCGTCGATATTCAACTTTCGAACTATAATACGAATATATTACATAATGATATGAATTTGAGGAAAATTTAAATATCAAAGATGAATTAGTAAAAATCTCCGCAATGAAGACATATATTCTGTAAATGTACAATATTATCACTTGGCAGTAGAGGTTTACGCGACTTTATATTTTTAACGACGAATTATTCTATACGGCTCGGTCACTCGTTATGGTCCGCAATCAATTGCCAGCGCAAGGGGTTAATTAAACAAAGAGCAAAGATATCCCAATGCGGAGTAAACATTTCTTGTTTTCGATCGACAGAACAAATTTCTAGTATTATTCTGCAGGGAGGGAAAAAGATATTACTTTTCCAGGTGAACCGCTATAATATATTGTCACTTCCCCGAACTCGTACCCTGTCGCCGTGTGCCGAAAAACCCTGTCGCGCAAATTAAATCGACCTCTTGCGCTGGAATGACGCACGTCGAGAATTTTTTCTCCCAAATTGCAACATTTTCTTAGTTTTAAGTATATTTGAATGTACGTAGTATATTAAAGTATAATATATTCAAGTATATTTAAATGTAACCAAGCAAAACACAAATGACAAGTTTACTACTTTTTAATAATATATACATTTAAGTATATTTAATATATATTTAAGTATATTTAAAATAATATATTTAAGTATATTTAAAGTAATATATTTAAGTATATTTAAAGTAATATATTTAAGTATATATTTAAGTATATTTAAAGTAATATTTTTAAGTATATTTAAAGTAATATATTTAAGTATATATTTAAGTATATTTAAAGTAATATTTTTAAGTATATTTAAAGTAATATATTTAAGTATATATTTAAGTATATTTAAAGTAATATTTTTAAGTATATTTAAAGTAATATATTTAAGTATATATTTAAGTATATTTAAAGTAATATTTTTAAGTATATTTAAAGTAATATATTTAAGTATATATTTAAGTATATTTAAAGTAATATATTTAAGTATATATTTAAGTATATTTAAATATACTTAAACATATATTTATATGTATAGTATTATATATATAGTATAAATATACTTAATTATATATTTAAGTAATATATTTAAGTCTATTCAAATACTCAAGCAAAGCAAATGACAAGCTTATTACTTCCCAGTAATTTCAATCCGGCGATATCGACGTAGTTCGAAAAAGAAAGCGGCGAATCATCGTGTTACGGTATTCGGTCACTCGTTACGGTCCGCGAACCAGTTGCCAGCGCAAGGGGTTAAACGAAGCCTACACGATGGTGTGCCTCTGGTGTTCGACCCGCGGACGTCGTGCCCGAGTCAATTGTCGGGAAGACGTCAAAGCGGCGTGGCGTGTGCGAGCTATTGACCTCGAAAAAGGCGGAGAAGTGGCAGGCTTGAATTGAAGCCCCGTGTGCGGCGGGGGTCGATACCGCGGGCGAACAGAAGAACGTGAAAACAATTTGAATCGCGGCCGCCGGTTGCATTCATTTGGGGATCGGTTTTGGAACGGTTTCTCCCTGATCCGCATTTAAGTTAGCCTCACGTTCGGCCGCAGCACGTGATCCAGCTGCTCGGGAGGAATCCCACGTATCCGTGACGTCACTTCTATCCAGGGCCCTCTTGGTCGGCCCGAGGCAGCAGCCAACCGCTCTCGC